CCTTCACGTCGAACGGGGCAGCCCCTCGGTCGACGGTCGCTTTCGTGTGGTTTATGTACGAATTCGCCCTTCCCGGGTGGAATTGAAATACTATCGCCGGACGTTCGCTGCCCTTGATTGTGGGTTCGAATTTCCACGCGCGCGTGACGACGGCGGCGGCGGCGGCGGCGGCGGCGGCGGCGGCGGCGACGACGACGACGACGACGACGACGACCGACCAACCCAGCCCTACTAAAGGGAATTGACTGGGGATGGTGATATACGATCCCCGATGCTGCGAGAGGTCGATAGACATCAAAATGGGGTCGAGGGGGTCAAACAGGACGGTTCGAGTCACCACGCGACCGGCAGCACTTCGCCGGCCGCGGCGCCGGCCGCGGCGCCGGCGGTCGCGGAAGTGTAGCCCCGCTCCGCGCCCTGCTCCTTGTCGTTTTGAGAGGGTTTTCTCCCCTGGCGGGTCTGTTTGGGTTTTAAACCGAGGTCTGTTAGGTCTGTTAGGTCTGTTTGGGTCTTCATATAGAAAATAGTCAAGCTATCATACATACATACAGTGAAAACCAGAGTAGCGATCTTTTGTCCGAGACGCACCATTTTCTTCAAAATTGCGATGAAGGGCACCTGGCGGCGTCCCGAGGCCACCCATTCACAAAAATACTTCCAGGTACCGCAGCGTGTGGCGTCGGACAAAGAATACGTGTTATCTTCTGTCCTCGACCAATGAAATCGCTGGAATATGCGACTGACTTTAATTTTTCCATAATATAACTATTTTCTATATGTAAACCGGCGGGTTTTAAACCCGGGTGGTCTTTTTGCTCGTCACTATGACGTCGTTCGAGTACAGGCGCGTCGGCGCTTTCGGGGGCGCCGGGTCGGACTTGCGCCGCGGCTTCTTGGGGGCCGTGCCCGCCCCGAGGTGCTCGCGCTCATCGGCGCGGCAGCGGTTCGTGTCGCGCTCCAATGGCATTGGTTGCAGGCGCCCGGAGAGCCGATCTGCTCTCCGAGCCAATCGTTCGCCACAGACGATGGCGCGAGCCGGTGGGGTCCCGGCGGGGGTCCGGGTTTTCTCAACTGAAGAAAGGAGTTGTGTCTCCGAGCTACCGTACCCCTGGCGTCGCGCTAGGGCATTGATGGCTGCGGCTAGCGGAGTCGGAGCAGTCCGAGGACGCATTTCGGTAATCCGGGTAACGTTAATGCCACGGGGAGTAGGCGGCTTGCTATGACTATGAACCGTGCTGCGTGCTACCTCGGCCTCGACCTCGGCGCGACGAACGCCAAGGCGGCGCTCGTGGACGACGACGGGCGCGTCGTGCGCTACGCGTCGCTCGCGCTCGGCCCCGGCGCGGCGCGCCTGGCGCCGGAGCGCGTCGCGGCGGCGCTGGCGTCCTGCGCGGCGACCGCCGTCGCCGGCGACTGGCGCGCCGTCGCCGGCTGCGGCGTCGGATCGCCCGGGCTCGTCGCCGGCGGGGCGGTCGCCGGCGCCGCGAACCTGTTCCGGGGCGAGGCGGCGCCCGTGCCGCTGCGCGCGCTCGTCGCGGCCGAGCTGCGCCGCGCCGCCGGGCGGCGCGTCGCGTGCGACCTCGTCAACGAGCGCGCCGAGGCGCGGGTCGCCGCCCCGCGGGGCGCGCGCCCGCGCGGCGAGCCCCGGGCCGACGCGACGCCGCGCCGCGCGCGCCGCCGCGCCGACGCCGCGCCGGCCGGGATGCTCGGACGGGCCGGCGCGCGCCGCGCGCGCCGCGGCCGCGGCCGCGCGTCCGAGGCGCCCGAGGCGCCCGAGGCGCGCCGCCCCGCCCCCAGGCGCGCGGCGCGCGGCGCTGCTCACGCTCGGGTCCGGCGTCGGCTGCGGCGTCGTCGTCGACGGCGTCGTGCTGGCCGGGTGCATGGAGGGCGGGCACATGATCGTCGGCGGCCTCCGCGGCCGGCGCTGCCCCTGCGGGAGCCGGGGGTGCCTCGAGGCCTACGCGTCGGCGAACGCCGTCCCCGGCCCGCGTCCCCCCGCGCCCGCGCCGCGCGCCCGGCGCCGGCGCGCGGCCGCGCGGCCGCGCGACCGCCGGCGCCGGGCCGGGGACGCGCGCGCCGCGCCCAGGTCGCGGCGGCCTACGCGGACGCGCGCGCGGCCGGAGCGGAGGGCGCGCGCGGCGCGCGCGCGTCGTGCGCCGAGGTCTTCGCGCGCGCCGCGGCCGGCGACGCCGCCGCCGCCGCCGTCGTCGACGACGCCGCGGCGCACGTCGCGCTCGGCTGCCTCAACCTCGCGCGCGTCCTCGACTGCGACGTCGTCGTCCTCGCCGGCGGCGCGGCGCCGCGCCGAGGGACGGCCGGCGCGTCGGGGCGCCCCGGCCGCGCCGCCCCGCCTCCGTCGAGTCGACGTCGTCGCGGCCTCCGGACGAGTCGGCGCCCCTCTCCCGGCGGGGCGCGCAGGGGGGCCATCGGCGCCGTCCGAGCTCGCGGGCGTCGACGCCGGCGCGGCGACGGTCCCGCGGCCCAGGCGTCGCGGCCGCCGGGAGCGCGCTGCTCGACCCGGTCCGCGCGCATGTCCGCGGCGGGGCCGGCGCGGGGTGCTTCGGCGTCGCTCCGACGCGGGCGGCCGTCGCGCGATCGCCCGGCGGACGACGTCGACGCGCGCGCCGAGGGGTCGCCCGTCCGAGGCCGAGCCGCGCCGCGCGGGACGCGCCCGAGCCCGGCGCCTCGGACGTCGGGCGTCGCCCGCCCCCGCGCCGCCCAGGTCCGCGCGCTCGGCTGGACCGTGCTCCCGTCGCTCGACGGCCGCGTGGCCCTCGCCGCGGCGGGGCCCCACGCGGGCTGCATCGGCGCCGCCGCGGTTGCGCGCGGCGCGGCGGCCGCGGCGCGCCGCCGGCGCCGCCGCGCCGGCGCCGCTGCCCTCGCGGCCCTCGCCGCGGCGGCCGCGGCTGCGGTCGCGCTCCGGCGCCAAAAATCCATTAGGATGCTATTTCCCGGCGGACTACGGTGAATCATCGTGTTCGGAGTTGCGAACGCATCGGGTTACCACGGTCTTTGGAAAAAAACGTCCGCGGAAAAAAAATACGACCGACCCGACCCGACGAAGGGACTCGTTTCGTCGGTGACGAGGCGCGGAACGAAAATTTTTCCGCGGACTTTTTTTTTGGCCAAAAACAAAACATTCAGTCCACGATGATTCACTGACGTGCGCATGGAAATAGCATCATAATGGGTTTTTGGCGTGACATACTACAAGCAGCTCAGACTAGCTGGATCGCGGGAAATTCTAGCTTGCCGGTGACTATTCTCTACATGACTCCTGTCATCCGCTCATCATTCCCAGCCTTCCATGTCGACGTCGATGGGCGCGTCCTTCGCCGAGCCTTTCCCGGCGTCGCTTCCCCAGGGTAGGGACCGCGCCGCCGGCGCGGCCTTGCGCTTGACGGGCGCCTTTGCCTTCTTCTTGGCCGGGGCGCGCTTCGCGACGCCGCGGCGCTTCGGCGGCGGCGCCGCGGGTGGAGACTCGTCGTCGTCGCCGTCGTCGTCCTCGCCGTCGTCGTCGTCGTCGTCGTCGTCGTCGTCGTCGTCGTCGTCGTCGTCGTCGACGACGTAGGACGCCGCCCGCGCGCCGCGGGCGCGCCTCGGCGGCGCGGCGCGCGCTCTCTTCTTGGGCGGTGCCTCCGCCGCCGCCTCGTCCTCGTCCTCGTCCTCCTCGCCGCCGTCCTCGTCCTCGTCGGCGGCGGCGGGCGGCGCGGGCGCGCCCCGGGCGCGCCTCGGCGGCGCGGCGCGCGCCGGCGGCTCGCCCGGGGCGCCGCCGCCGTCGTCCGCCGCGGCCGCGGCGCGGCCGCCGCCGCGGCCGCGGGGCGCGGCGCCGCGCGCGGCGTCGCGGACCGCGGCCTCGTCGGCGAAGGGCCCGCCGGCGCGCGCGAGCGCCTTCTGCGTCCGCGCGAGCTCCTGCTCGACGAGTTCCGCGAACGCGCCGTCGGCCTTGCGCACAAAGTCCTCGAGGGCTCGGTTCATCTTGTCCTCGGGCGGGACCTGGAGCTTCGACTCGTCCGCGTCGAGGTGGCCCTGGACGAGGTCCTCGATCTGGACCGCGTCGAGCTCGCCGTCCTCGACGGGCCGCGGCGCGGGCGCGGCGGCGCGCGCGCGGCCGCCGCCGCCGCCGCCGGCGGCGCGCGCGACGTGGAGCACCGTGCCCGGGTTCGCGACGTCGCCGACGAAGCGCGCGCCGAGCCGCGCGGCGCGGACGTCGCCGAACCCGGTCCGGTCGACGCGGAGCCGCGCGAGGACGCGGTCCGGCGCCGCGAGGGGGCACGTCATGCGCGGGAACCGCGGCGGCGGCGCGGCCGCGCGCGCGGCCGCGACGAGCGCCGCGACCTCGGCGGCGAGCGCGTCCGCGACGGCGGCGTCGCCGCCGCCGGCGGCGGCGCCGCCCGCGAGCGCCGGCAGGTCCGCGAGCGCGACGTCGCCGGCGGCGAACGGCCGCGCGCACGTGAGGCGCAGGGGCTCGAGGCGGAACTCGTCGCCGCGGATCTGGAGCAGGCCGCAGTGCTTGGGGCGCGCCTCGCCGTCGCCTGCGGGGCGGCGCGCGCGCGACGGTCCCGGCGCGGCGGGGCTCCGAGCTCGGCCGCGCGCCGCGCGCCTCGGCCCGCGCGCGCGCGGGCGATCGGCCCCCGGCGCGCCCCGAGCGTCGGCGCGCGGTCCGCTCGACGGTCGCCCGCGACGCGCGCGGGTCGGAGTCCCCGAGTGGCCTCGAATCGCCCAGATCGCCGCGCGCGCGCTCGCTGAGCGCCGTCGCGACGCCGGACCCGGGCTGCGTGACGCGGAACGTGCCGACGGCCGACTCGCGCGGCTCGACGAGGCACTCGTGCTCGTGGCCCCAGACGACGAGGTCGAACCACTCGGGGATCATCGACTCGTGGACGCACGCGTTGCGGCCGCGGCCCGCGTCGCGGTTCTGGTGGAGCACGAGGACGGAGAAGTACGTCGCGCCGTCCTCCGCCTGCGCGCGGCGCGCGGCGAGGGGACCGTCGCGCGGCGCGCCCGTCGGCGCGCGCGCGCGAGCGCCGCGCCCGGCGCGGGCGGACGCGCCGCGGGCCGGAGGAACGACACGCGCTTCTGCTGCCAGAGGCGGTTCAGGCGCTCGTCGCGGACGTTGCCCAGGCCGTAGAGCGCGACGCGCGTGGAGCCCTTGCGCAGGAGCACGGGGTGGAGCCTGCGCGCGGCGGCGGCCGTCGCGGGGCCCGCGCGGCGCGCGCCTCGCGACGCGGGCCCCGCGCTCGACGGCGTCGGCGCGGTCGCAGCGGCCGAAGTAGTTGACGAGTCCCGCGACCGAGAGGACGTCGAGCGCGGCGAGCGCGTCGACGCCGCCGTCGCGCGTCGGGTCGTCGTGGTTCCCGTGGACGGCGAAGACCGGCAGCGCGACGGCCGCGTGCGGGTCCTCGAAGTTGACGCGCCCGGCCGCGAAGTTCGCGGCCTGGTCGCTGAGGACCTGGAACGCGACGGGCGCGTCGCCCAGCGCGTAGCGCCGGAGGAGAGCCATCGCCTTGTGCAGCGCGCGCCGGCTCGGCTTGTTGTCGTGGAACAGGTCCCCGGCGTGGAGGAGGCAGTCCGCGCCGCGCTCCTGGGACAGGAGGAGCACCTACTCGGTCGAAATCTCTCGAAAATCGTCGCGGCCGCAGGACGCCGAGGGGCACCTCCTCGAAGGCGGCGAAGGAGTCGCCCCCGCGCACGGGGTCGCGGTCGAGGTAGCCAAGATGGCTGTCCGCGGCCAGCATGATCGTGAATGTGTCCCCGTCCATGTCTTGCACGAAGAGGCGGGGTGTGTCTGCCAGTGCCAGTGGGGTCGAAAACTCCACCTAACTTCTATGAGCCGGGTGCGCCTAATATAAGGGCCCCAGCCCCGTGGTATCCAGTATGGTTGCCGGAATACCCGGTATGGGCGATGCGGGACGGGTATATACCGGTATATACCGTCGGTATGGTAAATACCCGGTATATACCGGTATTTTTGGAGTACTCCGACCCCTCTGGGAGACATCACCGCGCGTCAAACCAGGGAAAAGGTGCTTCAAGAAGCCGAGTATCCATCCATCGACCATGCGGACAAATTGCTTTTTCACAAACCACTTCGTGCAGAATTTGTACACCCCAACTTTTCGACCAACCCGATCACATATTCTAATAGACCAACTCCTCGGATACACGCATCGAACATAAATCTTCCGCTCACTATATAGTGATATTGTCGCTACCGTAAATAAATGCGATCTGCGCCTTGAGGAGCCGCGCAAGTGACGCCGCCACTGGTTTTCCTCTCCGGCTCGGACAAAAAATACCGGAGACCCGATTCAAGGTCGGCTGCGCCACCTAAAATTTAATTCCCTGGATTTAGAGATTGCAGCCGAAGCCCCGAAATGTCGCACAAGAAGAAGCTGCCCCTGCTGCTCGCGCTGACCTCGCAGCTCGCCTCGGTCGCCGCCCGGCGGTCGCCGCGCCGCGACCACCTCGCGGTCGTCATCCCCATGTCTGGAAGCCGGACGGACGCGTCACGCCTCGCGTCGCGCCTCGACCGGTGGAACGAGCCCGAGTTCCACCCGTGCCGGCGCGCCGGCGCGCCGCCGGCCGCGCGCGCGCGGCGCCCGCCTACGCCCGCGGCGCGCGCGCGGATCTCGCCGCGGAACCCCCGCAGGCGCGCCGCGCGGACCTCGCCGCGGGCTGCGGCTACGCGGACGCGGCGGACGCGGACCGCGCGCGCCCTGCGCGTCCGCCCGGCGCCCCGCGCCCGCCGCGGCCGCCGCCGGCCCGACGGCGCCCGCGCCTGCGCGCCGCCCCCCGCGCAGCCGCGCGCGCCGCTCGTCTTCTACTCGAGCCGCGCGCTCCCCGCGCTCGCCCGCGTCGAAATCAAATCTCGAGCCCGACTTCAATCCGCGCGCGTTCGTACAGCTTCGACACGATTCTTTTGCTCTCCGTCGAGAGCTCGCCTGAGGGACGATCGCTCGTCCAGAACTCAGCAAAAACAACTTCGATTCGACTGAGTGAAGTTTGGCCGCGACGTTCCAGCTCGCCGATCGGCTTCCACGCAGGCGCTCGCCCAGCGGCGGCTCCTCGACGGCCTCGGCGCCGCGAGCGCGCCCCCCGCGCCGACCCGCCGACGCGCTGCGCGCCCACCGAGCCTCGACGCGCAGGCGGCTGCTTCGCCGGCCCCGAGTTCCTGGCGCGCCGCGCCGCCGCGCTCGCGCGCCGCGCGGCGGAGCGCGCGCGCGCCGCGCAGGCGGCGAACCTGACGGCCGCTCAGGATGGCTACCCCTGGGGCGCGCGGCGCCCGCGCGCGCGTCGAGCGGCGCGCACCAGCGGACGGGCGGCGCCGCAGGCGAGCTACATGTTCTACGTGCTCTTCGACGTCATGCGGCGCGCCCGCGCCGGGAGCGCGGGGCTCCGGGGCCAACCCAACGCGCGCGGGGCCGCGCGCGGGGCCTCGGCGGTGGACGCGCCGGGTCCGCCAGCGCGCGCGGCGGGGCGGCGCCGCGCGTCCCGGGCGCGGCCCGAAAGAGCGCCGGGCCGCGCCGGCGCGCGACGCGCCGCCGGGCGCAGGCTCGCGCGGCGCGACGTGTCGCACTTCGCTTACCTCGAGCCGGACACCGCGCCGATCCGGCCGCGCGGCTCCCGGGCCCGCGCGCCGCGGCCGCCGCGACGCCGCCGCGCCGCGCAGGCGCTGGCTCGAGGGCCTCCGGAACCTCGTGCCGCCGCGCGCGGAGCGGTTCTGGGTCAAGGGGTCCCCCGAAGCGCC